GATTTTTATAATTCTGGAAATTTTCCTAGTTAGAAACAGAATTGAAAGACTTTGAAGTTAAAGCATTTGTAAAGTGTATTATGCACGGCAATTATCAGATTTGAATCGTATTAAATGCTTTATAGTGTTTGTTTGTAATTAAGCACAAAGCTACACAATGGTCTACCTGTCTTCTGCCCACCACAGGTATTGAAACCCGGTTTCTAGCGTTGTGAGTCCGCAGACATACCGCTGTGCTGCTGGAGAGCGCTTTATAATGCAGTTAGTTCCTTGTATCAAAAATTTCTATATTAAACCACTTGCTTTTGATTTATTCTATAATTGGTAAGTATGCTGATAATAATGCTTATTTTATAAACTTCGATAAAAAATATTCATTATCTTACGGGGTAATATTTGATGTAATACTTCACTTTCAAGTGCTTGGATACAACAAATCTTGCTGTATTATGTTCATTTGTCATGATATTACAGGGATTCATGTTACGACTCATAAACTTCTAAAAATATTTATCATTAATTAAATATATCCACTTATTTGTACTAGTACGCATCAAAGCGTGAACAGTACACAAATATTCGATTAATATAACTGTCGATATGATCTTATATCCATAATAATAATAGAAAACAGTCCTAATTTTAAGCTATAAATATGCAAACATATCCTATAGTGTGCGGCTTGGTAAGTGCTATCACACGAGTCGCCAGATGGCGCGGTTCATATTTATTTACGCTTGTTTGTTTGTTTGTAGTTATGCACAAAGCTACACAATGGGCCATCTGTGCTCTGCCCACCACGGGTATCGAAATCCGGTTTCTAGCGTTGTAAGTCCGCAGACATACCGCTGTGCCACTGGGGGGCCTTTACGCTTGTATAAATAAGGAGTTTTCGTTTTAGTGATAAAGTGTTCTAATAAGAACTTCATAATGTTACTAACGTATGAAAATATCACACCTCAGCTTTCAAAACTACGTCTTATTTGATAACATATCAAGTTAATGTAGTTTTCTACGAACTTAATTTTACACTCTTTGTAAATCCAACAATAGATAAGTATATCATATGAGGTAGATTTTTTTTATCCAGTGAGCTGTTCTTAAAAGGAAGGAAGTAGTTGTATTTTATTATTATTACTAAAAACGTATCACCAAATAAACTTTTCATAAATTGAATTACTTATTTTTATAGTTTTAGGAAACAGTTGTATATTTTATAAATAAAAACTTACCACCATAAAACTATTTAGTTGAATAGTTTTATTATTTTAAAATAAGTGATTGTATTGCTTCTTATTATAAAAACATAGTACAATAAAATATTTATACATTTAGTTACATAGTTCGTTATTTTAGTAAGTGGTTGAATTATTTATTATTAAAAAAGCTTACCATTACGAGAAACTGTGATATATTTAATTTCAAAAAGAGGTTATATCAGTTATTGAAAAAATAATAGTTTTAAGTACTCCAGTTTCTCAGTACTACATTCAGAAATTACACTAATAAAGATGTAATAAAACCCTCATGTACAGTCCCAGTGAAAGTTGTGTTCTTGTTGTGAGGAGAGTACTTTTATTTAAAATTGTGTTCTATTACCAAAAATGGTGGTTGCACATATCACAGTTATTTTTCTAATTTTCTGAATGTTGAGTACCCAAAGTGTGAAGTTTTTATGGATATTTGTTTGTGGCGCCATTCAATAGATGGTGCAGGCGTTTTGGTCACATACATAGATACTGACATACACACTAAGTCTATTACAGTAATAATATTATCCATCCAATGAAACTTTAATACTTTGTGAAACTTATTGTTCAGAAAAAGTTAGAAACTGAATTGAGCTGAAAACTTAGGGTAGGTAAAGCTTTGTGTATACACGCTACAGTTCAAAGCTTTGTATATACGCACTGCACCTAAAGCTTCGTATATATGTGCTACAGGTAAAGCTTTGAGTATACATGTTGCACGTAAAGCTTTCTGCATTATCGCTGTAAATAGGAATCCAACTGCAGAAGTACGAGAGTTGTGTCCTTGTCTTGCTCCTAAACAGGGATTCTCTCGTGAATAAGGGCGAGTTGACAAGTTTAACGACTACAAGTTTTGATGTCGTAAAAACCCGCTGAATAGACTTAGTTGAACCTTCTGATATTCCGAGTTATCAGATCGTGTTATTTAACAAAAATGATTAAAAAAGAAACCTTCAACTACGATTCTTACATTATAAATAAAAATCAAACAAAATGGACAGTTTGACACGGTTTAGTTTTATGGTTACCATAAAAGTGAATTTAAACAAGTAAAAATGCGTACATGAAACTGATATTGCTAGTTCAAAATTTAAAAAAAATCGTTTCATCCGAGCTCAAACATATTTCTACTAAATAACCCTAATGTGCTAGTTTTATCGTGTTTTTGGCATTTTTTACACTTTATGGCATCTTATAATTAAAGACATTGATCATTACAAACCCACAGGGCTTATCACTTCGAAAGGAAGAAATTAAAGATTGCTTGTAACACTTAAAGTTAAATTTTTGTTTGGAGTCATGTTATAGTTTTCAAAGTCCTAAAGTTTTTCAAACTAGACAAAAGGAACACAAAATCCTTCAGTTAAAATAATCTCGAAGTAGATTCGTATTTATACTTATGCTAGCAGAGACCTGCAAAACATTAGAAGTCAAATTAGTTTCTTTATTGCAACATTAATTCTTTAAATACAGGATTTCTAGAATAATGCAAAAGAATTCTAATCGCAGATACCGATATCTATAAGTCAACTTGTCTTAGGCCTAATAAGCCTTTATTAAGTACGGCTTATATTCGATAAGGAGATAAATTAACACTGTAACACTGCATGTTTATGGCTTTAGTTTAGTTAGGGTTAACTTTACTGTACTTAATACTATCAATAAATAAACTTATAATGTTACTCAAGACCTAATGTTTGACCTTTTTAAAAACTTTAATAAGTTTTTAATACGTTAATATCTACTAAAGTATATATATATATATATAAATCCACCTTTTCTTTGAATCCGTTGAAATAAGTGGCCACGCATGCGCATTTAGACAGTAAGTTGCACGTGCATTTCCAGGACAGGCAAAAACTGACTATTATCATGAACCACGATAGTGGTTCATAATATGGATCGCAAGGAATTGTACAAACCCTAATAGAATGTTTGGGCAAAAAGCCCCTTAAACAGTAATGATTCACTCAAAACAACACTTTAAGACTTATACTATTGACAGCTAAGGCTGTACATATATAAAAATGCACATAAAAAGCTTGCATGTTAGACTTACGAGGAAAAAAAAATCTGCTCGAAACGGTCAGTTTGTAATTATTTTTCTTATTCTTCTCTTGCCAGTCTACAAGAAAAACGGCTTGGTATATTGCACCCAAACCTTTTGTAAAATACTAAATGAGGTACTGCGAAGGCCGTAGGGGTATTGAAAAGTCGATTTGTTTCTTCTGTATCTTACATAAGCTAGAAATATCATAATTCTGGTGTAAACGATGTTATCATTATCCCTTCAAGTTAGCTTTCTTAGAAATATCCTGTGTTCCTTTAAAAAATTTAAGTACAGGGTCAAACAAGAATTACCGATCAATAATAGATGAACATTAGATGAATATAACATGTAGATACTCAGTTATTTGTATACTATACAATCGGCATCTTTAGGGAGCCAACCCCTTTATTATGCATGAAGTTAAGCAGTAAAAAAATCGACACCCGTAATATTAAATTTTATTAAATACATCGTAGAATAATTACTTTAAAAGACACGAAAGTTTATTTAAAGCAATGTTTTTGAGTATATGTTTTATTTGAAAAGGCTACTTTTCTATTGGTAAAATTTTACACACGCTTAGTTGTAGGTTTTTAGTCATATTATTATTATTAAACTGAAAGTGTATGATTTAGTTATATATTATTATTAAACTGAAATTGTTGATTTTAATCATATTATTGTTAAACTGAAGTTGTAGGGTTTTAGTCATATTATTATTATTAAACTGAAAGTGTATGATTTAGTTATATATATATTATTATTAAACTGAAAGTGTTTGATTTAGTTATATATTATTGTTAAACTGAAATTGTTGATTTTAATCATATTATTGTTAAACTGAAGTTGTAGGTTTTTAGTCATATTATTGTTAAACTGAAATTGTTGATTTTAATCATATTATTGTTAAACTGAAATTGTAGGTTTTAATCATGATACTGTTCAAACGTCTTCATTTGACAAAAGACCATTTATTATTCAAAAGTCTAAAACAACTAACAGCAATGTGTAAATACAGTATGTTTAGAATGAAGGTCGTCGTGTTTTTAAGGAATGAAAGTTTAAACAACTGAATTGTTATTTGAATATACCCTTCTTTAAAATTTATTTACTTTGGTTTGAATTTCAATGCTAATATCGTATGTTATCATGGATCATTTTCTTACGAAGGCTGAAAAAATAATCTGAAAAACAAGTTTATTTTCCACACAACTTTTGGGATTAATTTAAATTAGGAAATAGAAGTAATTTTAAGGATACACACTTTGTTATTTTCTACCCCAAAATAAAATAGGGGATTTTACTTATTGTTCGCTGTCGTCTCTTATTGAAGTATTACCAAGTTATATTTTGAAAGAAAAAAAAATTAACAAAAATAGTTAAACAATCGTCCAAGAGCATTGATATTAAGTACAATTTCTAAGTTAGTGTATTTTAGTGCACTTAATGATATATTGCTGAAAACCATGCTCCAAGAGCATTGATATTAAGTACATTTTCTAAATTAGTATATTTAAGTGCTCACTAAATGGTACGTTACTGAAAACAATGCTCCAAGGGCATTTATATTAAGTACAATTCCCAAATTAGCGTATTTCAGTAAGCTAAATTTTATATTGCTGAAAACAATGCTACGAGAGCATTGATATTAAGTACAACTCCCAAATTAGTGTATGTAAGTATTCAGTAAATGTCAAGACTTCCTGTGCTATGCTAGCAAATACAGACAAACAATGATGGTTAGTTATGTAGACGAGTAGGAACTTATAGACAAATCATTGGAATGTTTAGCGGTGCAGTACCACAGTTCTCCAACAGTATTGAGAAGTGTTAGTTCAACCATCGACATACCGTGTTTAGGATACTACTCGTAGTACTCTACGAAATCCTCTGACATATGTGGTATTAAGTTTTTTTAACTGACATCCTCTTAGAACAACCCATATGGTTGAACAGCTTTTGTAAATCTTGACACTCACGATATTAAGAACACATTTCTAACATTCTAGAAAGCCCCCCAGTGGCACAGCGGAATGTCTGCGGACTTACAACGCTAGAATCCGGTTTCGATACCAGTGGTGGGCAGAGCACAGATAGCCCATTGTGTAGCTTTGTGCTTAATTACAAACAAACATTCTAGAAAAAATCCTTCCATTTATGTCAGTCAATTAACTAATTCTGAAAGAAATTCATTAAGTTCTGATTCGCAAGACACATCTTATGTTCACTTGTGGTACCCAAAGGAAAGGACCATAGCTGGTAGAATAGAATCTTACATTTGTAATTACCTAGAACAAGGAACTACTGAAATCTAATACACGAACTTACATTGAAGTAATCAGGGTTAAGTTAAAAACTTACTGTGCTGTAAGACATTTTCTTACAATTGTTTTATAGCACATAAAAACAAATCTTTTTGTCAATGCTCAAAATAATAGAGATTTCTTTCACTTTTGCCTTCCACATTATACAGAAATTTGATGTAGTGTCATTTTGCTAATCGTAATGGAGAGACACTAAATTCATATACGTTTTTTCATTACTACCTGGGTCTATAGAATATTTTAATCGCTCTTCGCAATAAAGTATATTAATCCTGTGTTTGTAATAAGATCAATCAAAGTACAACAATAGAAAATATCCAGAGAATATTAAAAAAGAAACACAAATAAAAAAAAGGGGAGTTTTCTGTTATTTTAGCGCAAAATCTACACAATGGGCTATTTGCGCTCTGCCCACTGCGAGGAATCGAACTCAAGATTAATAAAAAGGGACAAAATGTATATATTTGTTATTCTTTTAAACTGCGTAGCCGTAGTACTAATGGCGGTGTATAAAAACAATATATGTAATTTTCAGTGATTTTTTTCTAATTCTTTCGTATAATTGCGAAGAATGTTTTCATATCATAAATATTTATTCATGCACGTAGGAAAACTGTTTCACCGAGGATATCGCACTGATAGAGAAAACAACAAATATATATATTTTCTTTTGTACAATGTGATTGCATGAGAATATAAGCAATTAAAAACTTGTGACTGGTAGAATAAAGCTGCGAATTCAAAGGAATAAACAAAGACATTATTAGAGCTACATTAATTACAATAACAAATCAGCCTTCATGGAATAAACGAAATATTATTATAGCTACATTAGTTACAATAACAAATCAGCCTTCATGGAATAAACGAAATATTATTATAGCTACATTAGTTACAATAACAAATCAGCCTTCATGGAATAAACGAAATATTATTATAGCTACATTAGTTACAATAACAAATCAGCCTTCACGGGATAAACAAAGACATTATTAGAGCTACATTAGTTACAATAACAAATCAGCCTTCGTGGAACAAACAAAGACATTATTAGAGCTACATTAGTTACAATAACAAATCAGCCTTCATGGAATAAACAAAGACATTATTAGAGCTACATTAGTTACAATAACAAATCAGCCTTCACGGGATAAACAAAGACATTATTAGAGCTACATTAGTTACAATAAACATTCGCCATTTACGGAATAAACAGAATTTTATTATAGTTACATTAATTACAATAAACATTCGACATTTATAAAATAAACAAAGATATTATTAGAGCTACATTAGTTACAATTAAACAACATTAATCTTATATGCACACAAGTCAAATATATTATCAATTACTTTATAATATGAAATGGAGAGATCACATTAACGCTAGAATTAATTAGCTTTTTCAACTCAATTGGTTTCAAATTGTAGATATATATGAATACTTGCTAGAAAATCATATATCGTAGTTACAACTAGTTTTCTTAATACTAAAAAATAATTTTTTATTTTGATATACAACTAGATCATATCGTAAGTAAACGGTTTCAAGTTAAGCCTTCTATAGAGCTGTTCGATGTCTTGTTATAGTTCATAGATCAAATGGCATTGTAATAACACATTTTTAAATGCTTTTCAATTTAAGTGTAAAGAGAAAGAAAACTATCTTACAGTGCATTACAAAATCGGACAGATATTTCACTGAAAATTCACAAACTATGAGTTTTTTACTTTTAACTATAACATTTCCAAATTGTTTCTTACGTATTTCTCAGTTTACTTAAAACTACTTTACGATTTGTTTGGTTATTTTACGAAAATATTCATAAAAGTTTCTTATGCAATTCTTTCGTCTTTATTTCGAACCCATAGTATCAAAATTAACCGATCATATTCTTGTAAAAAAATATAATACTAATTTTTTTGATATTTCATTTTTCAGACCGATAATTCTTGATAATATCTGAATGACTGCCATTTCAGCGTGTTGTAAAGTCATTGCATAGTCTTAAAGGCAAATTCTCAATTTTATCATAATGCCTTATTCCATTCATTTTAAAGTCTCTAGAACTTTCGTCCAGAATATTTATCTAGTGATGCGTATAGAAGTTTCGAATATTTTTCCAATCTATTCCTCAGCAGATCAATGTCTTCATGTAGTTCCCTCTTACGGCGCCCAGTTCCAACTGTGGTTGGTATTCCTTGTAACAGTTGCAGAAGTCGTGTTAACAGGAAGTTCAGTACTACTGGAGCTATTATCAGGAGGGGTAGGAGAAGAGCACCAATTCCTAGCACGGCTCCTGCTGGAAGAATGGCAATTAGGATTAATGCCCCAAGATTGACGAACCCTACGTGGGGAATGTATGTGTAGCGGTTTTCTGAGCTTTGAGGATCTTCGTACTCTGTTTGCCATTTTCTCACATAGATGGTGCTCGGGTGCTTGTGGTAGCTACTCTGTCCAGCTGCTGCTAAGTCAAGCAGCAAAACAAGCAATATGAGCTTCATTGGTGGTTTGATTTCGTTAATAAAACTTCTCCAGACAAAAGCTAAAATGTTGATCTGTAAAATATACCAAAATATATAAGTCTCATTTGTGTGTTCAGTAGAATATGAACATTTGTATATTCTTACATTAAAATACATTAATAATATCAACGTGTGTCGGACTTTTCGTGAGGTGTTTGGGGTCTTATATCTGTAGCCTAGGTATTATCTTAACAAGTAACACAAGTTCGATAACGAGGAACCCACTTTGAGACTAATAATGCTTGGAGACGGTTTGAATGGGTAATGAAGAAAAACTTTAATATAAGTTTAACATAACTTGATGATTAAAAAACCTTGTCAAAACGTTGTACATTAGCTGTTATGTTAAACGTATATTAAAGTTTTTCCTCATTACCCATTCAAGCCGTCTCCAGCCATTATTAGATAAACTATTAAGTTTTACTGAAGAAAAAACGTTTGAAATGCATTTAGGAGATTTTAGGGATTACACAAAGTAAATTTTAACATGAAAATTACTTTGCACAGGGACTATTCCAAACAAACACTCAATATATTCATGGACAAATCTTTATTTTATTAAAAATACTTCACTAAAAATATGAGTTTTTATATGTGAAAGACTTGTAATATTAACTATAAGACTGCCAAATTTTGTGAAAATATACCCACTATATTGAAAGTTATAAGTATTAAATCTATAAATACTTTAAACGAATACAAAAAGGTCATGTGGTCGATCAAATTGACAGAGCCCGTACTGAAAGTGTTAATAGCTAGCTAGGCTATTAATCAGTATATAATCAGTATGACAATAAGTTGACAACCTGGACCAATAATGTTAATGTAATATTTAATTCCTTATTCTTTTATAGTGCTAATTTAATCATCTACTAACAATTAATGTAATGAATAGTTTGTGGACTATTTATATATATTACGTGTGTTTAAAATTACTTTGCATGTTGGATAGTCGACATTCCTGAATTCTGTGTACAAAAGCCTTGTAACATTTTTTTAATAATCTGTGAAATTTTATGAAGATGCATATACATTATTAAAGGTTATAGTATAAATACTCTTATGGTTACTTTGGTGGTTACAGTCCAGGTGCAATGCACTCAAGACTCTTAGACAAAAAGAGTTAAAAGATATCTAAGAAAAGCTCATTCATTTGGAAAAGGTTATTATTTCTATGTATCAAAATAAAACATTACCTACTGAGCCAGTTTTATCAATTTACAAATAACAAGTCAAGATATAAACCCTTTGCAAGCAGGAAGGATGTCAATGATATACAAATTTTTTCATACTCGCAGTAGAAATACTTTAAGAAACTTACTGCAAACTTTCTAAATAGTATTTACTTTCTGCTCTAAAAAATTCATATAATCTGATTTATTACTTCTATAATTGTTTAGGTTATGAAATATCCACCATTCTTAAAAAATATTTGGAATATTTCTTTTGTCTCAGAATTAAAGTTTTTAAATGGTTTGATCAGAAAGTTCCATTTTATACATCCTATCAGTTTCAATTTGTTAGCCATTCATTGATAGATTTATTTTGATACTTATCTTTGCCAGACTGAAGCAGTCACCATTTCTGGCCAGAAATAACACAAAATGTAGTAACTGACATAGATTTATCAGTAATCAAAGACCCAACTTTCAAAATTGCATTACTGTTACCTTTGTCAGTTTGTTTGACATTAAGCACAAAGCTAAATTATGGGCTATCTGTGCTCCGCCCAACACGGGTATCGAAACCCAGTTTCTAGCGTTGTAAGTCCGCAGACATATCGCCGTGCTACTGGGGTCACCTTTGTGAGACACTGTATCGTGATTTTTGTCAACATTCTTTTATTTTATTTGTTTTGTTTGAGTATGACACACTTAATAACATATTAAACAAAAAAAGGATTTATATCATTCCAATAGTTCATTGTTGCTTACCATACTAGTTAAATCTAACTAAACATCCTTGATAGTTTATCATAAAGGTATTGTTCTGTATTTTTCAAACAAATATAGTATATCAACACAAACATAAATTAAATGAACTATACAGGTAATTATTATCTAACGTTTGTTCCTAAAACCCTGCATTAGAATCTTTTATTTATCCTAAAACCCTGCATTAGAATCTTTTATTTATCCTTAAAAGAGCTCTGAATAGCTAATATTTTGATAAACCACAAATTACTGTTAAAATAAATGTATTTATTCTATATTGAAGTAGATAAATTAGAACCTCTTATATCCAATCATTTTAAGGCCTTTTCAAAACAATAGTAATTCTTCAGACCAAATGTTGTGACAACATAGGGCTCTATCAATATAACCAATGATAGAGAAGGAAAATCATGTGAAAAACACAAATCATTATAATTTCAAGGTATGATAGTTCCTTAGGAAATATAATCCTATACTTTTGGATGAGCAGAAACATTCTAAAAAAAAAGAATCCTCAGAGCTGTGCAGAAATGAAAGTTTGAACTTTTGTTTTCATTTCTCTTTGTGAAATACACTAACTAAACATTATATAATGCACTAAAATAAATTTGGATACAACTTTTTAAAATAAAATTATATTTTTATTTAAATTCTGAAACATGTTATACATTTAGGAATTAAACACCTGGCCATGAAACATGTCTTCCAACTCTTAAATCTGTACCTCCTGAACCTGTGCATCTTAATTTTTGAAAGTTTACACTATTAGAATAACTGAAACAAAAATAGACATATTCTTCTACATCTGGAATAATTACAGTGCCTTTTACTATTTTTACTAATAGGAGGACTACAGAAAAAACTTTATACTAACCAGATATTTTCTCTCTTGTTTAATTATAATAAAGACATTTGAAGCTCAAAACTAAAGGTTGTAAGGCAGAGCACCGTGATCTAACATACAAATATCCAGTGCTCAGGAAAATCATAAGCACAATCCAGAAATTTTCCACATTTCCAGTGCATTGATTCACTGACAGTGCATCTCAAACACTAGTTACATTTCTGTTATTCTAAATACTGGATACATTACCTTCATGGCCCGTTCACTATCTCTCCAAGAGTTCTTTCGGTACAGAATGTGAGGAAGCCTGAGATAGTCCGTCACCTCACCATCTCCATCTATTAAGGCACAAAATGCAGGTATTTCTCTGCAAGTAAAAAACACTTCATTCAGCTGGTTTGAACTGTGTTTTAATATTAACATCAATCTAAAACTGTGGGTAAAGTGGATATTTTGAATTAATGTAACATTTATAACTCAGGAACACATCAACAACTGAGTAAACCTTAATAATCTGAAAATTGGAAATTAAAAGTAATTAATTTTTATCATAGAAGGAAACTTGTGTAAATAAACCTAATTTTGTCAAGCAAAGTTTTCAACAAGCAAACATTATCAAATACACAGAGAGCAAGAAGAATGATCATTATGGTTATACGGACATTATCACTATTAGGCAACAATACTGTTTATTACTTGAAACAGATGATAAACACCATATGAAGTTCTCAATATCTCCCATCCCAAAAGAAAAACTCAATAAGAAGTTTATTATTGTTTTAATTAAAAAATATGAAACATTTATTTGTTATGATCTCAACATTAACCCTACATATAATGAAGCACTAATATAAAGCAAATTTTCAGACATCTTTTTTGTTGTTTTAAATAATGCATCTGTGTTGTGTAAAAAAAAAAATACTATACAATGCTCAAAGTTTAGCAACATTAATCATACAAATGTGCAAAACCTATGTATACATAATGTACTCGTGTTGGTGTTCAATTGGTTCATTCTATCAAACTTTTTGAGCTCATCTACAAATGTACGAGTTAACGCACGTGTAAAAAACAACAAAAAACTCTGGACGTTAAACTCTTACCGATCAGGGACATACGCAATCCCCATTACTCTGATCCCATCACGAGTATCAAAATCCTCATCTTCTTCGATTTGTTGGTCTACTTGATAAGGAGCAATTTTCAGCCAATTGTACAGCTTCTTGCAGCATGCCTGTTCAGGTTAAACACTCTAATTATACTACTTACTCTTTTTTTATGTGTGTATCTTATATGGATTGCTACAATGTATTCATGGGATATAAGAATTGCAAATAATAATTATCTAAACAGTTTAAATTAATTATTTTTCTTTACGATTAAAAAGACAGTAACAATATTATTCAGTTTTATATTAAAATTGTTTATTCCATTCTTTAGTTAATGTTAGTTTTATTAATAGTATTGATTTAAATGTTTTATACATACTTACTAAATATAATCAGTTAGAAGTGTTACCAGTTATTACTATAAATACTCAAGAGTTACAAGTTAACTCTCTCAACACGGGCTTGGTCAATTTGACCGACTACGTGACCTCTTAGAAATCATTTCAAGTCTTTATAGTTTGATACTATTAACTTTTAATATAGTATGTATATCTTCACATACTTTGGCAGACTTTCATTGAATATTATAAGTTATTCATATACAAAAAATCATATTTTTAGTGAATCATTTTTAATAAACTTAAAAAAAAGATTTGTCCATGAATATATATAGTATTTTTTTACTAGTCCACATGAAAAATGATTTTCATGTTAAGATTAAAAAGACTTTTTCATCTCAAAAATCTCAAAGTTCATTTGTGTAATCTCTAAAACCTCTTAAATACATTTCAAGCATTTGTTTTCAGTAAAACTTTTTATTTTCTTTACCCTAACTCTATATAAGGTTGGTCAAATTGACCAACTTTGTAACCACTGAAAAAAAATAAAAAAATAAAATGAAACAAGTCTAAATTATCCCTTTTTTATGTCTAGAATGACTTCAAATTGTAACATGAAACTACATTCGCTTCTCCTAAGTAGCTTTAAACTAATAACAGCATACATCTATTTATAATTAAATTTTATTGTTTTATTGCCCTTTGAACCGTGTCTAACTACTGTTTGTGTCATTATATGTTGTAAGTCATTTGGGGAATGTGAAGCTCACGTTACGCTATCGATTTACATTACCCACAAGTTGTTCGCATGCTTGCCTTGTAAAACATTTTTATTATATTATTATATATTTTACCAAAACTAACCTAAAGCGATCCCTATTTTTACATTTTATTTACCTTTAAAATAATAAATAAAGAATAAACGTGAAATAAATAAAGTATTTACCTGAATATTTTTTTCTTGCTGTAGAATGTCGGTGACACTTAACTCTATTTTTTTATACTGATGATGATAATGCAGTATACAATTTTTATTTAATTAAATAATACACCAAAGACCATATAATAATAACATTCAAAAAGCAGACAATTTCCCCTAACTATCACAACTTTTCTGGCTTTCCAAGTATGACGGTTACAAAATCATCCAAGCTAGTTGTTATCTTTCTCACGGGAATGAAGCTAAATTGACAATTCTCCGTTCAGAAAACTACGTAATATAACATGTTATTTGATAGATGAAAACCTTGGCTTTCTATTGCTTATACATAATAGAGTTAAACGTAAGAGAGAACTATTAACAAATCCTGAAAGAGAGGATGTGACAGGTAGGTGTGGCAAGAGGGGTCTGATTTTCTATTTGATAGCTCTGTAACCAAACGTAGGCTATAAAAATTATGGTTTGACTGAGCAATGACAATTTTATAGTGAGTAATTGACATTGATTTTTGTACTCATTTGAGAGGTGGTGGATCAAATAGAGAAGAGGAGATGCCTGGAGAAAATGTGTCACACTAGGGAAAATTTAGGATTTTAAAAAATATTGGCATATAAAATTAAGAACATGTATACTATTAAAATATGGATTATTAGCTACAATTTTATCCTATACTAATTGCTATAACATAAAAAAAAAGTAGATTAATAAATTTTTGAATTTATGTCACTAAAACCTCGTGACATGAGCAGAAAAGGATTTCCATGGCGATAGGGTAAAAATAAAAATATGTACATACCTTTTAACTTTTTTTGTTGAATAATCCTAAAATAGCTTCTTTGGATCATATGCATAGTTTTACATCATTACCTTTTCACTTATAGTATATTTTTAATACTTTTACTTTC